AATTACTATAACAAGAGCCATGTCAACATGGCCATCCCCCGCCGAATGTGTTTGCTCATTGGAAGAATGTATATGTAGTAGAGCGGAATAATTCCATTTTAAGAGGTCTTTTGGTAATGAAAACTGATGGCTATTAGTGATTACAGATTTGAAACCTATGTGAATACTGATGGCTGAAAATAACAAAGGGCAATTACTGAAAAATAATGCAGGGTAGGTTATCATTCTTGTGTGCTGCATCCCTCCTCAGTAAAATCTATCCACCTATGAAGTTTCAAGTTGATACCTCAAATACTTTTTGAGAAAAAATTGAAAAATTAAGTATGAAAAAGAACAAAGGGCAATAACTCAAAAATTATAAAAGGTAGAGTTATCATTCTTGTGCAGTGCACACCTCCTGAGTGAGATCTATGCACCTATGAAGTTTCATTTTGATATCTCAAAGGCTTTTTGAGTTATGCTCTGGACAAAAATTAATTTTGAAAAATAACAAAGGGCAATAACTCAAAAATAATGCAGGGTAGAGTTATCATTCTTAAGCACTGCACTCCTCCTCAATGAAATCCATCCACCTTTGAAGTTTGAAGTTGATACCTCAAATACTTTTTGAGATAAGCTCTGGACAAAATAGCATAAAAAAAAACAAAGGGCAATAACTCAAAAATTGTATAGGGAAGAGTTATCATTCTTGCGTACAACATTCCTTCTCAATAAGATCTATCCACCTATGACATTTCATGTTGATATCTCAAACACTTTTTGAGTTATGCTCCACTCAGGTGAAAAATTAGGTATGAAAAATAACAAATGGCAATAACTCATAAATTATGAAAGGTAGAGTTATCATTCTTGTGCACTGCACACCCCCTGAGTGAGATCTATGCACCTATGAAGTTTCATGTTAATATCTCATAGGCTTTTGGAGTTATGCTCTGGACAAAAATCAATTTTGAAAAATAACAAAGGGCAATAACTCAAAAATTATGCAAGGTAGAGTTATCATTCTTGTGCACTGCACTCCTCCTCAATGAGGTCTATCCACCTATGAAGTTTCAAGTTGATAACTCAAATACTTTTAGAGATATGCTCCGGACAAAAATGTCGGACGGAAGGACGGACGGAAGGTCGGACGGACGGAGACTATTTCTATATCCTCCGCCGAAATTTTTCGGCGGGGAATAATAATTAGGCTATAATGTCATATATCCTATCTCATTTCAAAATGTATCAATAGCTCTCTCAAAAAGTGACAAGTTATCAATAATAGCAAACCAGTTTTCGAAATGATGACCAAAACACAAAGTCTATAAAGAAAACAGTATTTTCTGCCTAATCGCTGTGAATTAACAGTATGCTAATACATGTATGATGCAGGTGTTAAAAATATTTTTTGTTATTAAAAAAAAATGTTCCACTTGAAAACCAATTGAGGACAGTACGTACTAAATCACCTGCAACTGAGAGCAGTGTGTAATAAATCACAAGCAAGTGAGAACTCTTTAAATACATTGGAATAATTATTTTTTGTGTAAGAACAATTTTCACATATCTTGTGCAATGTCAGACCACAGTATGATGTAGCCAAAGAAGATAAACATTTAGATTCTCAATGGAATTTTAGATAAGATCCCTGCGGGTCAGGGCACTTTTATTTTTCTTTTATTATTGAAATAAGATGGACTTTATATACATTGAAAATAAAAAAAAAATGATTGGTTTTGTTTATGCATCATGTTCGCTGAAGGGAAAATGTATCTATCAGAGAGGAATCTAACTGAGTGGGGCGGACGGGGATGAGAATCAGACATATTTTTTTTCTATGGCCTAAGTACTGTGAGCACAATCATAATACATAATACAATAACTATTATTATAAATATTCAGCTGTTAAATAAACTCTTGCATTTATATTAATTGTGAAACTAAAAGTCTAGTAGTTTTCGACTAGTTTAAATATTGGGCCCTGTAAGAAAACAGAATATATGCTAATAAGACAAATACCATCATATTCATTGATAGCTTCATGGGTTTTAACCTCATCAAGTTTGTTGGTAGACACTTCATTGGTATCAGCTATGTTGCTACTATTTATGGCATTATTTATGTCATCATTTATATCATCATATTCTCCAATATCTACAATATAAGCAAACAAAAACATGCTATAAGAAATATTCAGGCAACAATTACTATAATTGGGCTTTAATGTCATATATCCTATCTTATTTCAAAATGTATCAATAGCTCGCTCAAAAAATGACCAGTTACCAATAATAGCAAACCAGTTTCCAAATGATGAAAAAAACACAAAGTCTATAAAGAAAACAGTATTCTCTGCCTAATCGCTGTGAATTAACAGTATGCTAATACATGTATGATGCAGGTGTAAAAAATATTTTTTGCTATTAAAAAAAAAATGTTCCACTTGAAAACCAATTGAGGACAGTACATACTAAATCACCTGCAACTGAGAGCAGTGTGTAATAAATCACAAGCAAGTGAGAACTCTTTAAATATATTAGAATAATTATTTTTTGTGTAAGAACAATTTTCACAAATCTTGTGCAATGTCAGACCACAGTATGATGTAGCCAAAGAAAATAAACATTTAGATTCTCAATGGAATTTTGGATAAGATCCCAGCGGGTCAGGGCACTTTTATTTTTCTTTTATTATTGAAATAAGATGGACTTTATATACATTGAAAATAAAAAAAAATGATTGGTTTTGTTTATGCATCATGTTCGCTGAAGGGAAAATGTATCTATCAGAGAGGAATCTAACTGAGTGGGGCGGACGGGGATGAGAATCAGACATAATTTTTTTCTATGGCTTAAGTACTGAAAGCATGATCATAATACATAATACAATAACTATTATTATAAATATTCAGCTGTTAAATAAACTTATGCATTTATATTAATTGTGAAACTAAAATTCTAGTAGTTTTCGACTAGCTTAAATATTGGGCCCTGTAAGAAAACAGAATATATGCTAATAAGACAAATACCGTCATATTCATTGATAACTTCATGGGTTTTAACCTCATCAAGTTTGTTGGTAGACACTTCATTGGTATCAGCAATGTTGCTACTATTTATGTCATTATTTATGTCATCATTTATATCATCATATTCTCCAATATCTACAATACAAGCAAACAAAAACATGCTATAAGAAATATTCAGGCAACAATTACTATAATTATTAGGCTATAATGTCATATATCCTATCTCATTTCAAAATGTATCAATAGCTCTCTCAAAAAGTGACCAGTTATCAATAATAGAAAATCAGTTTTCAAAATGATGACCAAAACACAAAGTCTATAAAGAAAACAATATTCTCTGCCTTCTCTGTGAATTAACAGTATGCTAATACATGTATGATGCAGGTGTTAAAAAAAATATTTGCCATTAAAAAAAATATTCCACTTGAAAACCAATTGAGGACAGTAAGTACTAAATCACCTGCAACTGAGAACAGTGTGTAATAAAACACAAGCAAGAGGGAACTCTTTAAATACATTAGAATAGTTATTTTTTGTGTAAGAACAATTTTCCCATATCTTGTGCAAAGTCAGACCACAGTATGATGAAAAAAACTAAGTAAGGCCAAAAAAATAAATATTTAGATTTTAATTGGAATTTTGGATAAGAACCTAGCATTTTGGCACTTTTTTTTATCTTTTATTATTGAAATAAGGTTTTTATATACACTGAAAATAGAAAAAAACAATTGTTTTTTTATGCATCATTTATCATGTTCGCTGAAGGGATTCCATGAAACGTTTTGCGTTCGTCTAAACATTTAAGTACTGTGTCATGCGTCTGTTGAGAAGTAAAAGAATATCTTAGATAGATATATTTTGTAAATTTTGGGTTTCATAAACCTGTTAAAGATGTTCAGTGTCCCTGTCAAAGAAAAGAAATATTATATAAAGAAATATTATTGTGATATTTACATTAAAGTTTTAAAGTTTGTGACCTCGTGGTGAATACCTGAGATTTCTATGTGCTTACTACGCTGAAGATTAGTTTTAATCCTATTTTACATACGCTTATGATTTATATACATTTTAATTGCAACATTTTTGATATTCAATTCAGCAAACAGGTGTTTATATGCGTACCAATATATCCCATAAGTGGTTCGTCAGGCATCATATGTGGTGGTAAATCAGACTTAAAACACCGCCCCCATCCCCTTTACCAATTCATATTATTACGTCATTACGTTTCATCAAAGACTGTCTGAATCCTAGTTAGGGTAATATTTATTTTAGACAGTTCCTTCCCATTTTTCTAAACAGATTTATATTGATATGTAACAGCCTGGCAGGGACTCGAACCCCTGACACTCGGAATACCATTCCGCGGCTCTTCCATCTGAGCTATTTGGCCGCTTACACATTTTATGTGTTTAAATTAGGGATGGCAACGAGTAACCTGTTAACCTAGTACTCGATTTTCGGTTAACAAAATTGATATTCGATTAATCGAAAAAAATGTATAATTTTTATTTTATTTGCTATTTAGACATTAAATTTAACAAGATATGTTTGTAAAACATGTATGCCCCCTATCAGTAGCCAATTAGTCATGTGATAAGGTTATTATGCATGACTTCTGACCCAGTGATCAAACAATTAATAAGGGTTATCAAGTATCTACTGGTCATGACCTTAACCTTTGACCCCTTGACCCAAAACTCAATAGGGGTCATCTGCTGGTCACGACCAATCATCATACAAAGTTTGAAGTTCCTAGGCCTAAGCGTTTTTAGTTAATTGATCAGAAACCGTTTTTACCTACAAGGTCAATGTGACCTTAACCTTTGACCCCTTGACCCCAAAATCAATAGGTCCTCTGCTGGTCATGACCAATCACCATACCAAGTTTGAAGTTCCTAGGCCTAAGGATTCTTTAGTTATTGATCGGAAAGCGTTTTAACATACAACGTCAATGTGACCTTGACCTTTGACCCCAAAATCAATAGGGGTCATCTGCTGCTCATGACCAATCACCATGCCAAGTTTGAAGTTCCTAGGCCGAAGCGTTCTTTAGTTATTGATCAGAAACCGTTTTTACTTACAATGTCAATGTGACCTTGACCTTTGACCCCTTGATCCCAAAATCAATAGGAGTAATCTGCTGGTCATGACAAATCACCATACCAAGTTTGAAGTTCCTAGGCCTAAGCGTTCTTAAGTTATTGATCAGAAACCGTTTTTACTTACAAGGTCAATGTGACCTTGACCTTTGACCCCTTGACCCAAAACTCAATAGGGGTCATCTGCTGGTCACGACCAATCATCATACAAAGTTTGAAGTTCCTAGGCCTAAGCGTTTTTAGTTAATTGATCGGAAACCGTTTTTACCTACAAGGTCAATGTGACCTTGACCTTTGACCCCTTGACCCCAAAATCAATAGGTCATCTGCTGGTCATGACCAATCACCATACCAAGTTTGAAGTTCCTAGGCCTAAGGGTTCTTAAGTTATTGATTGGAAAGCATTTTTACCTACAGTACGCTCAGCGCGACATTTTCAAAACCCGCGTGACCCCGCGGATGAGGTTTACCGCGGACGAAAATTTGCTCAGATATTGTCCGCGTGACCCCGCGGACAGAAAATTTTCACCACCGCGGACATAAATCGGCAGCTGAAACCGTTTCCCCCGCGGAACGCAGTGGTAAATTGCGGAGGAACGCGGCGGTCAAACACCGGTTGTCATTGTCGTCGCAACATCATGGTAGTGAGAAACTTGAAGTCAAATAATGAAAAAATCGGCATATGACATTTATGGAAAAGATACTACAACAATTTATATGCCAACTTTTGTTTCTTATTTAAAAACTTTGAAAACATAACCCTCAACAATTTTTCTTTTATTCCTAATATATGTACATGTATTTTATTTATGTCCTGTCTTGTATTCACACTCATCGACCTCTTACAGCACATGTACTGTAGCGTCAGTCATCATTGAGAAATCAGCACAAATATCCTTTTTTTTACTGAGTATCATATTTATGGCTCCCATATAGTTTAACAGCAATAATACTTATAGAACCACAAGGAATGAACAAGTAAAGTTGACAGTGATAAATGACGATTTCAGTTGTAAAAATATTGGTATGTGGACGAATAGTTTTGTGGACGTTTATAACAAAAATATTAAAAACAACAACAAAAAGAGGTACAGCTGTAATTATTTTTATTTCAAATTCCGTTCAAATAATTTAACGTATAATAACATTTAACCCATTACTTCATGAGCATTTTGTGAAAAATGGCTGTTTTCATTGAAAAGTCTCCCGTTACAAGTTCAAATTGCTATAATACTATAAAAACTGCTTCAACACTAATCAAACTTGGCACAAATGTTGACTGGACCATTGTCCTTGCAACAACATGCTCAGGCTTAAATTTTCTGTTACCATGGCAACAAGGGGACATCTCAAAATTGCCAAAAATCACTATTTTGCGTTGATTTTTTTCCATCAAAATTGATTTCAAAGTGCTGCGACTTCTCAATGGATTGAGATAGAGTCAAATGCTTTTCAGCGTTGGTTACACGTTACCTTATGATCAATCTGGGGTCATTTACAGCCTCTCACAAGTCCAAAATTTTCTTGGCGATGAGGGGGACTCCGCCCCCTTCAAACCCCCCAAAACAGAAGGGGGCACATACCCCTTCTGGCAACCCCCTGATGTATCTTTTGGTTGGGGGCCGCGCCGAAAAAGAGGTCACTTTTTTTAACAACATTTCTCAAACAAAAACAAGTGTTTGGGGCCTAAATAAGGCATTTTTTCATCATTTGAGACAACAAAAAAAGGGGGGGTGAAAAAGGCGTTAAAAGGCGTGTATATGAAGTAATGGGTTAAGGAGACGATTGTGGTCAATTTTCAAGTCATTGTGTAAAAAAGATGACGTTAAAAAATAATAAAACGTCTATTATTTTTGGAGGTTAATTAATACTGACCAACTGACCATGGCGTTCCCCCGCGGGAAACGGGTGACTGATTTTATCGATAAATGAAGAACGGTCGTCAGAATTTTGTCCGCGGTGGAAACAACTGAACACCGGGGATCGCGGGGAAATCAGGCTTCTCATCGCGGACGAGCCCCCGCGTTTGTCCGCGATAGAAAAAAATCGTCCGCGGTGGTATCGCGGAAAAAGCAAAACCCGCGGTGAGCGTACTGTACAAGGTCAATGTGACCTTGCCCTTTGACCCCTTAACCCCAATATCAATAGGGGTCATCTGCTGGTCATGACCAATCACCATACCAAGTTCAAAGTTCCTAGGTCTAAGGGTTCTTTAGTTATTGATCGGAAACAGTTTTTTTACCTAAGAGGTCAATGTGACCTTGACCTTTGACCCCTTGACCCAAAATCTATAGGGGTCATCTACTGATCATGACCAATCACCATATCAAGTTTGAAGTCCCTAGGCCTAAGGGTTCTTTCGTTATTGATCGGAAACCGTTTTTACCCAAGAGGTCATGTGACCTTGAGCTTTGACCCCTTGACCCCAAAATCAATAGGGGTTATCTACTGATCATGACCAATCACCATACCAAGTTTGAAGTTCCTAGGCCTTAAAGTTCTTTAGTTATTGATCGGAAACCGTTTTTGCTTACAAGGTCAATGTGATCTTGACCTTTGACCCCTTGACCCCAAAATCAATAGGGGTCATCTACTGATCATGACCAATCACCATACCAAGTTTGAAGTTCCTAGGCCTTAAAGTTCTTTAGTTATTGATCGGAAACCGTTTTTGCTTACAAGGTCAATGTGATCTTGACCTTTGACCCCTTGACCCCAAAATCAATAGGGGTCATCTACTGATCATGACCAATCACCATACCAAGTTTGAAGTTCCTAGGCCTAAGGGTTCTTTAGTTATCACTCGGAAACCATTTGGTCTACGGACCGACGGACCGACGGACCGACAAGTGCAAAGCAATATACCCCCTTTTCTTCGAAATGGGGGCATAATAAATGTATCCAATTAGTTCAGAAATTCGGAGATGTGCATATACCTGCATAAATATCTGTTAAATGCAATCACAACTTCCTTGCAGAGGTGCGAAAATGATACCATAAATTTAATGAGGCGATCATCAGTTTGACACGCGCACGTCATGTGTCGCTTACGTCATCCGGCCTCTTATGATATTTAGTAACCTTTAATTGTGTAACACAGTGCAGTTTCTACCCGAATCTTGTTTTAAGGTAAATAAAATAAAAGCAATAAAAATCCCAACAAATTTCATGGAAAATTTAAGAAATTATGGCTAGTTTTAAATGATGCCTTATTAATAACTTATACCACACTAAATCATTGAAAATTGGGGTAAGTTGACCTAGTTATAAGCTTCTGGTCAATGAAACAAAGTTAGTTAAGCCACATAATGTTATACTATCAAGTAACTTACTACATCTAATTGACTGAAATAAGAAAACCCCATTGAATTATTTTGACAATGAAGGAAATTTAGTTAAATTTTCTATGGTGCACAACTGTTCAAGCAAATACATTAAATCTTTAAAAAAATGGGATAATTTTACCTTATTTTAACTTAATGAAACGAAGTTAGTAAGGCAACATATAATATTGAGTAACAATTACATCTGTTTGATTAATATGAAAAAAAAACAACACTAAATTTCATTGAAAAATAAAAAGGTATTGCAAATTTCCTATAACAGAGGTGTTCAGATCTACTATCAGCTTGCCATGTCCCAGCACTTATAATACAATAGTTTATTTGGAGAAGAGGTCCTGGGACCATAACTGGCATGGTATATGGAATCACAAAAATTACTGTAAAACTGATTTATTCAATTCTTTATAGTAAAGTCCCAGCTCAGAACTGTTCATTATTGAGGGTCAGAAGTTGTGCAAGCGGACTGATAGCTTATTTGGTACCCTGTCAGCTACGGCACAGTATTCCAGGAGTCCCTGGCTCAAGTCCCAGTCAGGCTGCATATTTTTCTCACCCTTTGACATTTGACTCCCAACAGAAAGCAATAAAACAATGTGAAATGCGCCTTGAAGTTTCATACCATCACCTATTCCAAAGGGGACTGTATAATCTAGCTTAATAAAATTAAAGTCCTTAATGTTCATGCTTATGATTTGTATGAAAGATGAATTGTTAAATCTGTTAAGCACATGGATCGAATAAATAATGATCGGAGGGGAATAAATAAATACATGTAAATAAAAAAAAGAATATTAAAAAAAACAGTGAAAAAGAAAAATAATTTAATAATGCAAACTTTCCTTAATGATGGACGATGGACAAACTTCTATACTGACGGTAATTGATGCAATTATCAGAGCCCAACAACAATTATTTTCGGTGTTTTTTTTTTTCAATTTAAAAATTAAACTTAATGGAACAAAAAAAGGATTATCATCAAAATTTTGTAAACTATTTCAATTGATGTTATTTAACTGCAACCAAACGCTATTTTTTTTTCTCGACGTCTTGAGATGACGAAGTACATTCTTTACTGTCACCAACGCGTCAATTAATCTCTAAAAAGTAAACATTCTTGTCTAAAATTCTCGCTTTAAGTCATAATTAACATATGCACTTTCGCCTTCCATATATTTTTTAAAAGTGCCATGCGGCTAGCCAATACAGTGTGTCCTGGCTAGCCACTTCCATCCGGGCCCGTACGGCTAGCCACTTCCATCATTTATTCAAATCGCTTAACAATCTAGCAATATTGTTAAAAATTTATATGATAAGGATATTTAAACGTTTAGAAACATCCGGGCCCGTACGGCTAGCCACTTCCATCATTTATTCAAATCGCTTAACAATCTAGCAATATTGTTAAAAATTTATATGATAAGGATATTTAAACGTTTAGAAACTTTTTTCTATTTTGCGTGCATATATCGTTTAGCGTATATCGTTTAGCATGCATCTGCGTATTTCATTTCGTAAAGAGTGCCTCTACATTCGTTCGTATAGTGTGTAACCTGCATGTGTTTTTTCAAAGAGCATGTGTTTGCGTGTAAACGGAAACATACACCCTACTGTACTACTGTTAATATACTATATTGATTTACCTTTGGCTTTTAGCTTGGTTGTAAGCAATAAATTTCTTGCCCAAAGAAACCACCAGGCCTGTTTTCATGTGCTTTGAACACAGGCCAATTTAGTAATCTTGAGGTTGATTTGTGACTTTCTTATCTTCCAAACATAACCAGCATAGTAACCAGAAAGTAAATGTTAAATCTGATTTAGTCAAACTTAATGGCCTTCCAAACACTTGTAAATCGAAAACTCATCAACTTTCAAGAGGCAGAAAAATTATTCTGTGCTCAGCCTCAGACCGCCATTGTTGTTGTTGTTAATCTTCACCGCATATGTAGGCAAACCTCTGTGTAGTAAAAAGAGTGTAACAATAATCCTCCATCGAATATCACTCAACCTTTGTACAGCTGCACTTAAATTCACAGTTACTCCTGCACAGTAGCTATATATCTTATACAACCTATACACACCGATTCTGTAAAAATAGACTTCTGTTTACATTTTTTTTATTTACCTCCCCTTTTCCGGACAGACTAATTCCCGTACCTTCCCGGTCTTTGCTGCATTTATGCAGTTTAATATATGATGAATAAGCAGAGTAGAGTGGGAAAGGGGAGGGGGTGTCAGAGTTTGAATATTGAACAGGCTTAAGGAAAATGGTAATTCATGTACCAAAATTGGAAACCCGTGTACTGTACAAGAAAGATTTGAAATATAATTTCTTAAACCCTACATCAACAGACCATTAAGCTGGGTTTTTTCTTCCTTATTCACTCTACTACATATACCCCTTAGAAATATTCCTAGCTTATATCATTTTTATGTAGAACTAATAAAATAAACCCCTTATAGAAAATATTCCTTATATATATAGATCTATTTTATGTAGAACTAACTTACACATACTGGCAGATATCTTCGTTCAAGTTGTGTAAACAATACCTTCAGTAGTTTTCATTCATCAACGCATTTTTAGTGTTTTATACACACATTTTAACAAAACACAGCTTCCAATTTTTATTTAATAAAAAGCGGCATCGCGAAAATAAGTGACAAATAAAAATTTACCTATTCCCTGCGGTAACATTCACAATTCTTGTTGTTTTTTATTTCAATTTTATTAGATTTAATATTTTTTTCTTATTTAAAGAATTTTTAATCAGTCCTTTCAACAGGCATGATAAAACGAAATGGTTTGGGTACGAGTTGATTTCTGTACATGTACTATGATCAATTGAGGCTGTCTAAACTTTAGGACTAAACAGTATAGAAAAACAAATAGTACAACTGTAAAGCCTATTAAGCTGCAATGAATTATTAGAAGTAATATAGCATCAAAATTTAGATTCTTTTACCTTTTTCTGCCTCCGCATTCCTGTACTGTACCACGCAGTAAAAATGTCCGATTCCAAATTTCCTTTAAATGACTTCCGGTAAGTAAGCAGATAACCTTTACAAATTTTACCTGTTTATAAATTCATAGTGGATTTTAAATCTTTCTTAAAGTGTCTACATCTACTAATTAACAGCTTAAATAATATTTCCCATTTTTTGGCATTAATTTCAACCAATAGAAATGCTGTATTCCAGTTTTGTCAAATCTGACCAGCAATTGAGGACGCAATAATTCGCCGAGTGGGAAGTTCAAAAATGGCTACTTTTTTAGGTCGACACACAGCCCCGACACACCCATCATATGAGACCTCCAACCGAGGACACAACTTGATTACCATTTTTTTACATGTTTTAGCAAAAAATAAGCATTTTTAGAGTATAAAATATTTTTGTCAATTGAGGATGGGCTCAATTGTCGGTCATGTCCTCACTCGTTGCTGTTATTCCTGACAAATGTCCTCAGTTGCTGGTCCTTACAAGAGCACACACACACACACACACACACACACACACACACACACACACACCAATGCACACACACACACACACACACACGCGCGCACGCACACAAGAACGCACGCAATACACATTCATGAAGTTTCACAATAATGCAATACATTTTTTAATGTAAATTTACAAAAGGGTTGGGCCAAAAGTTATAACAACTTTTTCGACCGCCCTCAATCGAGTTTGATATAGTTCAAGCAAGTTATTTATAGTTACTGTTTTTCAAGGGTAAAGCGATAATATTTTGGAATTTTGTTTCATTGCTCAAATATAGCGGGGCTAACGTTTATCTTAACGACTATATATAATAGATCTTTTAGCGTAACGTCAATCTTGACAACTATCTTTAAGCTTTTTTGAATCATTGAATTATTAGTCCCGCTACTTTTGTATATCTGTTATATATATCACTTCACGATTTAAGTACTAACCGCTTTAATTCATCCTAAAATTTCTGTTTTCTGTGTGTCGTAACTTATAATCCCATTTTTTAAAGCCTTCAACTACGCTGAATGTATTCTATCTTTATTGCGCTTTTGCCCTACGCAGAATGCGCATGCGCAAAATGCAACATTGGTTGCTATGGAAAAATCGTACTGTAAAAAGGTCTATACAAAATAAGCGGGACTAATAATTCAATGATTTAAAGTCTTCTGTTCAAGGTTTCATTAAATAACTTTTTTATCAGTAATTTAAATTGAAACAGCAGGGTGTTTAAGATAAATTTTATTACCCATGTATTACATAACATTACACAATTGGTATTCCTTCGAAAGATTGGCAAGGCGGTAAGTGTGAAACGGATTGACACGTGACCGGTTGTTATTTGTCAGCTTGTATACAATATCATTCAACCGGGTCTTAAAATTATGAAAATCGTTATTTGTGTTACTTTTTATTTATATCAATCTCATCAATGTTTATTAATTTTGTGAAGTGACAAATAGTGTACGTGACATGCATTTTCATGTGTTACGATCGAGGAACCTGATAAAATGTGTGTTATTTCACCTCCCATTTTTACTTCACAAGAGTTTGAAATAAAATTTATATATTTATGTGACTTAAAAAATTTCTGTTTGGCATAATAGTCAAGTCGGATAAAGGATAAAATTAGGTAAATGAAAAATAAAAATGCATTATCACGTGTTCCGACTTATTTTCATAATAACCAATTATAAAACTTCTTAAGCTTTTATATGGACGATTTAAACAACAATTAAATTGACTTTTTTATTTGCTAATTATATTTCCACATTTTTGCAACAATTATCACAATGCCAGGTCCGTGACCGTAAGGGAGAATTCTTAAACAATCGTCTTTTTCATGCCTTTTTATGGCAATCTTGGCCACAAAGCTATAAAGGTATCTTTTGTGTTTCTATTAAAAGCTATTTTATATGATTTTCGAATTTTTACCTTAAACTAAACTCGGAATTGTCTATGAATTTCTACTACATTTCAATGAAAGGCAATGCTCTTTATGCCCTACGCAGATTGCGCATGCGCGAGAAAATACTTCTTCCGGTCGATTTGTCATAGCAACGGACCGCGTCGTAAAAGGTCTATATCTGTTATATATATCACTTCACGATTTAAATACTAACCGCCTTAATTCATCCTAAAATTTCTGTTTTCTGGGTGTCATAACTTCTAATCACGTCTTTTAAGGCCTTCAACTACGCTAAATGTGTTCTATCTTTATTGCGCTTTTGCCCTACGCAGAATGCGCATGCGCAAAATGCAAAATTGGTCGCTATGGAAAAATCGTACCGTAAAAAGGTCTATAGGCTTACATCACAATTGGAAAAAAAATCTGAAATGTATCAATATGTCGGACACATAATTTAACCTCATCGTTCAAACATTAAACAACAATGTAATTCTTATTTCATTGTCATGTAATTTCTTATTTTGATTAAGCTATCTTTCAATAAAATAATGTAAGAGAAAAATAGTATTGACTGTACTATAATAAGATTGATAAGCAAAACTGAGCATCAGTAAGAATGTAATTTACAATTGCCCATTTTTCAAACGTTAATTTATTATTACAGTAAATAATTCAGCAAAACATCTTATCAAAGTAATACCTCTGTAATTTGTCGGAAATTTGAACCCCCTTTTACAGGTATTACTATGCCCATTGACCATGATTCAGGAAAACATTGCTTATCGAAAAACAGCAAAATAAATAGTCAAACATCGATTCCCTCTTCAAGTATTCGTAAAAAAAAATAGAATCGAACGAACAATCTTTATTCGTTCCCAAATAGTTTAACTGCATTTCTTATTTCAGTAACAGTACACGGTGCATCTAACTCATCAAATGTAAAATTTATGTTTTCACGATTATCATAGCTATTTAAAAAAACGTTTCTATTTCAACAATTCCTTCTTCTGAAAAATAAGATGTAAAGTTCTTAAAATGATTGAAACACTTGTCCATTTCAATACTGTCATCCAAACAGTCTTAATAATCTCCAAAAATATTATGTTTTTTTTATTTCTCATTTCTTTTTAAGCTTGTTGCTTGTTTTCTATTGTTTCTCTTTTCTACAGTGATATTTATAATAATTTTTCTTTTTACAATATATATTTCTTTATTTTTAGCAGGTTTTTTGGACATTGAACTGCGATTCTGTATTTGTATAAGCAATATATTTTTGTTTACAAATTTCATCAAACCATTTATTGTTTATGTTGCTGAAAATCGTGTTTGATGAAGTCAAACTTTATGTTTCATAATATATATTTCCGTATATATATATCGAGACTCAGGATTAGCGACATTCGGCGAAGTAATATTTTTTAAAGAGAATGAAATCGGAGCGTGATTTGAGTGCGCTGTTAAATCGTCATTCTTAGTTGAAAGGTAATCAATTTCGCTGTTTCCGTTATATGTATAGCATGTATATTTGGCGATATTTAAATCCATATCTAGTCGTCCGTTAACAATTCGGATTTCTGTAGATTTACAAAGATCAAGCAATTGTTTCCCACGTGATCTGTTGACGCTCGCGGTCTGAATAAGCCCAACACATTGTGTGCTTTTGGGCTTTTAATTATATAGACGTTGGCCGACGTCCGTGTTATATCAGTTTTTAATGTCGGTCGGTCTTGCAGTCGAAATATTGAAACCAGGTCTAAATAACCATGATCTGGTAACTGTACATTATAGTTTATATAGTCAGGTTTTAAACCTGTTCTTCACAAACATATACAGTTCCTTTTTTGATACAAAATTAAATCAGCAAAAAAAAACCCACATTCATAAATATTATGGACAGGAAAATTTTCTTGAGTAATGTATAAAGAACACATAACACATAGATATCACTAGGCAACATAAAATATTCTTTAACTTATTTCACCCACATAAAGCAATTTACCAATTTCACACTTTTAACAATCTGTTATTATTATATGCTATTATCCCACCACTGCTTCGCTTTGCTCTTTTATCCTGATATTTTCTGAAAGAATGGTATAACTAAAACCCATTAAATTCTATTTTTATGTTTAATTTGTCCCTGTTTTATTGTAATAAAATTCGTTAAATAGATTAATTGTTCTTATTTGGGATAAACCTATATTCATACCTGATGCGGTCCTATCTTAAACCCGAAGTTTCGCCGTATACGTTGTATTAATTAAGATAAATCATCGAATGCTGGTTGATAAAATTGTTAAGTAGTATTTACTTTCTTTTCAGGTTTCTTTGATATAGTAACATGTATTTTCTCAAATTTACGACTTGTTTTTATTCAAAATACTAACCCCCCAAAAGTGACATTTAATTTTATTTCAACCAAAATAACTTAAACACCTAATATCTATCTCCCATTGGTACATGGTGTATGATTATCAATTTTCACAAGGTTGAGAAGTTTATTATGTAAGGCAAATCAATTTAATTGAGTCAGTATTTTTGGAAGTTAGGGACTTCATTGCGGAAAACGAAAGCAGGTATGTTGTTTCATATTCTGTATTTCTTTTTATCGAGACAAATATGTTTACGAATGAAAAAAATCATTCAAAATCATACCTCCTTTAAAAAAAATTATACATTTTTAAAACAAAAACAAAACAAAAACAAAACAAAACAAAACATTTTTTTCGTGAAATTGCAAAATATCTAATTGGATTTAATATTGGATTTAAAAGCTAGTTATTTGACTGATTTCTAAATACATATTTTATGAGTATATACATTGCTGTTGTGAGATTAATTTAGTTAAATGGACTGCACTAAGGGTTTTTACATGAAATGATGGGACAATCCCCCCCAAGATCTATGTACCATTAGATACAGGTTTGATACAATCACTTGTATGCAAACTTTTAGATCATTACCTTTCCCCGTTTTTCCGGAATAATCATTTATATTTTGTAAATAACTAAAAACTGAAATGCAACGATTTTTTAGGGTAAGACATGCACTAACTATCGATTTTCAATTTAATTTTGAGTAAATTGTATATCTTTTAAATATTATTCGATTTTCCCCATTCTAAATGTATGTGTATAAGCGTATATATACAACTGAACAACAATTGAAAGGTTTTTCTTAAAGTTTGTGCACGCAGAATATAATACTGAAAAGATATGGCAAAATGTCAAGTTATTATTAATTTTATCATCGCACTCAGTCTGCCCCATTCTGGTTATAAATTGAAGTTACCGATAATTTCCGAAGGATATTTAGATATTTATATGGAGTATAGATTATTCAGGTGACGTTTATTTTAATATTGAAAACAAATATAACAAAATGTAAAGTTCTTTTGAATTTAAACTGAACACTCATCATGTACTGTTGGAAGGGCATAGTGTAAATCACGTGTTTTTTTTTTTTGATAATTTCAATTATTTTACAAAATATTGTACGCCAGCCAAACATGCGCATATAAAAAACTTGACAAAACTTAAGCTTTTTGAGAAAAAAATTATGGATTGATAAGTTTTCGATACTATAAGATTGATTATTTCTTTTTTTTAAATGAACAGAAGTGCAAAAAAGAAGAAAAAGACAAAGAAAAAAGAGATCACTTCTTTTATCTAACTTCTTTTTAATTAACTAAGGTGAATTCCCAAAACAAATCATAATCATGTACATGTATACCATACCATACCATACCATACCATACTAGAAAGCAACAGAGAGTCTAGGTGGGCACAACAGCACCTTTCATGGCTCTGTATGAGGAACTCATGGACACATTTAAACGTTTTTTAGCAAAACATTCTGTAACAAAATAAAGATTTTTGAAATACATCATAAAAAGTGCTTCTTAGAATTAATGTTAAAAGTAATGGAACTTATATTCTTATAAAATATGTCTAAATTATAAAAAAAGACTGTAAATTGACTGTTACTAATATATTAAGAAGGATATTTCTTGAAATTTCTGTGAGTCACGTGATTTAGTGGTTATTTTTGCGAAGCATAATATAATACTGAAAAAATATGGCAAAATGTAAATTTATTTTTACTTTTTACCTGCACACACACCATTAACAATTTAATTGACTCATTGCTACTTTGAATTTGTTTATCAAAGGAAGACTTACACATGATATATACATGTAATCTAATGGATAGATGGTAGACATAATATTTTATATTTCCTATGCATTATCCATGACCTTGTTTGATAAGTGAATGATGTATGAATTATTGAATCTGATTTTATTTCTTAGGCATTGATTAGGATTAATGACAACTGAACAATTAAAATGGAGGAAAAATTAACAGAGAAAGATATGGACCAACTCGAGCAATGGATAGGTACAGGACCTAAAACATTCACACGTATTTATTCTATCACACGTGATAGTTGTGACCCTGAGATATTCCACCAGAGATGTGACAACAAGGGTGCAACCGTCACAGTTTTGTACAACAAACACAATTCGGTATATGGTGGTTATACTAGTGTCAGTTGGCAGTCAAATACTCGCGGTTACATGAAAGACGACAAGGCGTTCTTATACCAGCTGAGGTATAATGGGAACGACACTATCAATAAGTTTCCTGTTAAATCGTCGAAAAATGCCGTTTTCCATAAAAGTGACTATGGACCCACCTTTGGATTTGACCATGACCTGTTAACATTTTATCAGAAAAGTATACGTTTGACTAAATTCTGCGGTGGCGTATATCCATTAAATGGAACTATGGAAGACTTTGGAACTGGGTATATCGCTAACGGAGTGTCTGTTAAGCGAATAAACAACGGTACAATGGAAGTGACTGAACTTGAAGTTTACTTGGTAACAGGTAACATAATTTTATAAAACAATATTGCCTGTATATTTTATCTTCAGCCAATCAGTCTTTTTTTTAAATAAGCTTTATATCTACAAATGTTCATATTGAATGTGAGACACACTGCTTACCACGCATATCTTACTGTAACACGATAAATATATATGTTGATGAAATAATACCGGTACTTGATCAAGAATTAAAGATTCAGACCAATGTTGCATTTATCATACTTCTTGTTTGATATATTCCAGATGGTCGCAAGAAAGAAAAGCAGAAAACTATTTCGGTCCAGACAGATATTTCAGCGCAGAAGCAGAAAATACCTTCACAATGGCGAAAAACTGAAGACTGGAACGAAGAGGTAGGATAGGTCAAGATGTTTTGATTAAGGAATTGAAATGGTTAAGTACATTTCTTAGCCTACAGTCAGGGTGACATACGACATATTACACTGGCAGAGATTGTGAAAAAAATTAATTTATAGTCATGGAATTTTATGTCAATTTAAGATGAGCAGAGATTACAACATGTACTATAAAGATTCATCATAAATTGATAAATGGTAATATTTTATCTAAAAATTATATTTAGTTGAATACATTGTTGTTGTAATAAACATACGAAGGCCAGTCAATAAATTACCAGCCTCACGTATATCCGATCGACCGATACATCTTTGATTATCAAGCATTGTTTCAATACATGTACTATACCTGGGCACAAAACTACACATGTATTCGGTCATTTGTTTTGTTAAACATGGCTAGTGATGTAAAAGCAAGCTTTTCATCAAAAGTGGAGTTCCGTGCAGTAATTCGGTACTTGCATTTAAAGGATAAAACTGGTAAAGACATATATGCCGAGTTAGTTGATGTGTATGGGTCTTCTGCATCATCTTACTCGCAAGTTAAATTCTAGGTTGGGGAGTTTAAACGCCAGAGAACGTCTTTAGAAGATGAATGTCTGGACGCCCAGTGGATGTCACTGACGAAGAAATGTGTAATAAATTCGGAGATCTGGAATACTCAGATAGGCGAATTCAGGTTGAAGAAGTAGCACAGGCATTAGGCATTTCACACGGTAGCGTTTAAACAATTTTGCATGATCGTTTAAGGATGCGCAAACTAACAGCCCGTTGGGTCCCAAAATCCCTTAGCAAGGAACAACTGGCAACGAGAGCATCAGTATGCAGTGGGTTGTTGAAGCGTTTGAGGTCAAAAGATGGATTCATTTTTTGTCTAGTTACTGTGGATTCTTGGGTGCATTATTATGAACCAGAAAATAAATCCCAGAGTCGTCAGTGGGTACGGCCAGAATCCCCAAGGCCAAAGAAGTTCAAGACTCAACCATCTGCTGGCAAAGTGATGGCCACAGTATTTTGAACCACACAAAGGGCGTTATTTTGAGGAGTAGTTCCATGGAAAGGGCCCTGACTTCTTCACTTTTGGGCTGATTACACTTGAACACCATTGGTCTAAGTGCATAGCACTGGAGGGAAATTATATTGAAAAAGTAGAGGCAGATCTCAACCCGAAATAGGTTAGGCTGGTAATTCATTGTCTCGCCCTCGTGTAAAAGAAAGGTTAAAATATTACTTGACTGTGATAATAATTAAGGTTGGATACTTGGAAACATTATAATAAATTGTTTTAATTAATAATCATTGAGAAACTTTTGAATCTTTTGAAGGTTTAAAATGTTTATTATACTGAGATGGCATTGTTTGATAATACGGGGATTACATTGCCCCACGAGTAATAATTATTTTGCACTATACACATTTTGAATGAATTGATAAGCCCTGACTATGACAAGAATAATTCCAGTCTTATCATGTATTCACTGTTTCAGTTTCACAATGAACTTCAAGAAGAGATAGTAAACTTTAAACCTATACAAGATTTGAATGTAAGCGAGGCTCGAATCTTGATGTTAGGGCCAGTTGGTGCTGGAAAGTCCAGCTTCTTCAATACTATAGATTCAATTTACCGCGGGCGAATCACACAGCGAGCTGGCAGCGGAAGTTCAGAGCACAGTCTCACCACTACAGTAAGTACGGCAATTAGTAAAGTGATATATTAACATGTTATTTTTATTAAAGTTTCAATGCTTTAATTTCTTATTATGCAATAGGATCAATATTTTTCGCTTGAAAACAACATTTGCACCAGGAAGTAATGGAAAATCAGCAATCTAGACGCATTATGCATTGAGGTATTTTTTCCCCATATTTTTACGAATTTAATGGGCACTATAATGCAATCATAAGAAAGCTGTTTTTTTATTAAGAACTTAGTCAATTTATTACTTACAATGGATCAAATAAAGTAACATGACATTGTTTCTTTTAGTTTGTTCCATATTCGATTGTAATAAGTTCTGGGGCTACCTTGAACTTCCGGTTGTGTGATACACGTGGTTTAGAAGAAACTATGGGTATTGATGTACTGGAGTGTAACTATCTACTTGATGGAAACATACCGTACTACTACGAGGTATTATTCAATTAGTTTTTCAGAGCCTCATTTAAATCATCAATTTATTTGTTACAAGAAGTTTTTTGAAATGATTAATGTTACATAAAAAACAGCAACGCACGCACGCAGTATTTGTTGAAAACGATGCGCATGCTTGTTTTTGAAATTGAACGATGACACCTTTATTTCGCCACAGGTTTTGAGCCATTGTTCCTCTATAATCTTTGAAACCCTGAAATGAAAATGGTATTTCATTTTACCTTTTTAATAAAGCAATGAAATTGAAACAAATTTTTTATAAGCGTTTGATTATTTTCTTATTTCCCAAGAATTTCTACGCTCTTATCTTCAACGAAGGTCATTATTCTGCTTTTGTTTCCAGCAATACACTAGTTACCATGTTCAAACCAGCCACATGACATTTTCCCCTAAAAACAAAGATATAAAACTTCCATGAAAACTGCATTAAAAAAGAAAACCTTTTGTTGTGTTTAAATGTTGATAACTGAGTAAGCCGATGGTAGGGGTGTTGATGGTAGCTTACAATCACCAGTACCATCCATGAACAGGCTGTATCATTTGGAGCCTGCATCATTTTGAATTTTGCCGTTTTTGGCGTTCTTTAGGGATTCTATCTATCATGTGTTCAGTGGATCATATTTAAAGTTATATTTGTTTTCATTACCACAATCTGCTTCTTTAGTGGTGCATGACGATAGTTCGATGATATTTGTCTTATGTAGGGTATGATTTAGTCAAGCTGTTAGGTACGTAATTAAGATGATTGCAAATAATAGATCAAATCACGATCATAACTGCTGAATGAACTAACCTTTTTTTTTTTTTTTTTTTTTTTTTTTTTCTCATTGATCAAAAAATTATATAAACATTGTATTTACAAGCATGGGTATATAAACATACAAAGTAGAAAAACAGAACATATCATAAAAGAAAAATAATTTATTTTACATACTACACTCATTCATCTGCACTCTCTCACTGCAATCTGCGCTTTTGATATTGTTATTGATCATATCTATTCATCTTTTCAGTCATTTACTTATCTCTAAAGCCATTTTAAGCGGGGTAAAAATATAATATTTGATGTGTAGTTTTTGGAAAGGTCAATACAGCCTAAAATTTTAAGTCTGCATATATGTGGAGAATAATAATAATAATAATAGTAATAATAATAATAATAATAATAGTAATAATAATTATAAGAAGAAGAAGAAAAAAAAACAAATGAACTAACATTGATAACATTAAGGCTAATATATAATGGTCTGTTTGGTTTGCAAAATGTTGAAAATGTTGATTTGCACAAAAACGTTTTGATCGGGATACCTTTGAAAAATATCAATTCAAATGTTTACAAAATTAACAGGATCAAAATAAAGTTCAAATTAAGTCTCAGAATCAATATTTGGATCATTCTTCAAAAAGGCATGTCTTGTAGTTCTAAAACAAAATGAATTATGTAATCTCAATCCCTCTTTTAAGATGCTATTATAATAAACGACCAAAACGAATTATTAAAAGTTACAACAGGCAAATGGGTATCAATTTATTGTACCGTAGTTACATTTTACAGAAAAAGTGCAGGAAAAGCACATTTCTGACAAAAAGTGTCATCGGCAAATATGTCTTCTTAATTTTTTGGTTGGGAGAATAAGTGAATTTGAGAAAATAATGCATAAGTCCTGATTGAGCGTGTTAATTTTTAAATTTGATGTTATTATATTAAACTTCATCACTAAAAACATAAATTGTCAATTCATACGACTGTTTTAAGCAAAGGTGTTGGTGAATCTGTATTTTCTCAATTTTCTGAATACATATCTAATGAGTTTCTATCTTTTAGTTTAATCCAACGAAACCAATCACCCCGGAATCGCCTGGGTTCAAATCTGACCCCACTGGGAATGATCAAGTTCATTGTGCTGTGTTTGTAGTGGATTCTACAACATTAGAGGTGTTGTCAACAAAGATTGTTGAGAAAATGAAAGGACTTCGTGGACTTATGAATCAAAAAGGTAGATTTCAAAGTTATCAAAATATATATGTTTTGTTCAAGATAAGCTTCTCTATCATATCTGGCTGTTATACTACTACTACAAAGCTGATATAAAACTCTTTTACTCAAGTCATGTATTGAAATGATTGGTATTTCTGTATTTGAGTATATATGTGGGATGAAAATGCCACACAGCTAATACGTTTTCTCTAAACTTTATTACTATATATGTATAAACTTACAGGAATACCACAACTTATTCTCCTGACAAAGGTGGACAAGCTCTGTAATGACGTTCAGAAGGACGTGTCTCAGGTTTTCTACAGTTCAAAAGTGGAACAAGCTGTAGATAAAGCGTCACAACTTCTCGGTCTTCCACGTGCTAACGTACTTCCGGTGAAAAATTACGAAAACGAGGCTGGGCTTGACAACAACGTTGATATACTTGCTCTGTTGGCTCTGCGTAAAATGCTTCATTGTTCTGAAGATTTCATGCTGAACATGAAACACAGGGAGCAAGATGTCCAAGGGGAAATGGGAAAATTGAAACTTGAAAAGTAATTTTCAATTCTTATAATAACAATTTAAAGAGGAAAAAAAAGAAAACTGTATGGCGCTTTCATTATATAAAACTCATTATATTGCGATGAATGTAAATGTATATTATGCTACATCTTAATTCATATTAAGTATCTGTAAGTTATCAAAATATGATTATTTCCTGTTGGGTATACATTATGTAAGCATGTCCTAGAAGATAAATGAGTTGCCGTGTTTTATGATTCCAAATTAGCTGATTGATCACTACCGAAACCATAAAAAATTACTGAGCAGTCTACTTTGTATTGAGTCTTAATTACCTCTAGAGAATAATAAGAACATATATGTTCATTATTGTTCATGGAAAATTATACTAATAACATGTATGATCGTTATTGTTAATGAAAAATGATACCATAACTGTAAAGTTCTTGGAAAATGATAATATTTATTTCACAGCTTATAAAATGAAATTGTTTGTGCTATGTGATCCCCAGATATATAAATTATTGTTTGATCCAGTCTATTCAAGTTAGTCACGTTTTAATTCCCAGAGTCTAAAAAAATCTGAATCAAATCACTTTTGTACTACAATTCAAATAATATCATAATGTCAAAGAAAACGGTTATGTGAAGTAAAGAGAAGTAAAGAGGGCAATATACAATGTGAAATATAACACATCTACAAAACCTATATCAGCCGCGACTAACGCCTCATCCAATGTAGCTTTGAACTCGTTCCATAGAATATTGATTATAGTACTCAACAATGAATAATAACCTATTATATAATCGTCTTGTTTACATAAAAAATGTAACATATATTTTTGCGGTTGCATATAATACTACAAATAATCTTTATTGATAAAAAAAATAATTGCAACAATTTATATATTAAATTTTATTAATACGTAAATTTTCGGAAAGCATTAGTTATTACATAATAATTGAATAAAATCCTAAATGTCATATTGAAGACATACTCTAAAACTCGACTGTGGTAAGAGCTTGGTGGCTTAAATTTTGATGACGGATCATTTTGTTGTATTCGCGAGTGAAATAAATGCTCACCCTATTATTTTGAAAGGTATTTCACTAACATAGATAAAGCCGGTTCCAGTGGCTGGAGTTTTCAATTATATGAAATAAATAAACATTCATGTTTAATGAATTTTATTTACAGTGTGAACTAACTTTAAATATTACGTTTCATTTATTTTATCTAAAAAAAACACCACTTTTTTCCGTAAATTGTTTATCGTACATTGTGTCTGTTCAAACTTTTAATCTATCTGGTCATCAAAATGAGTTTTTACATATGTAAAAATGTTGCTTTTGTTTGTATAATTCACTAGTTCATCATAGCACACATCTATTGTCAGACTATTCTTCGAATTATTTAGCCCTAGTTAATTGGATTTTGTGCTGTAACTAGAAGTCAATAAAAATCTTTTTTAGTTTATACAATTTTTTTTTAGTTCGATTGTGTTGGAAGCTATAAGCTTATTGAAACACTCTCGAATCCGTTCCTGGAACCAACCAGTACTAAGCAATGAATGTAAAGTTTCTTGCTCAAGGAAACAACGGCTTGCCCCTGACAGGGTTTGAACCCACGCGGTCAGAAAACCTTAGATTACAAGTCCGACCTGTGGTTTACTCGACCACGCCGCAACACTAAAAAAAAATTTTTATGCACGTATTGCAAAACTTACTTTCTATCTTGCAGAAATTTTACACATGATAGTTTTCACGCCTCAATTTTGCAAAATGTATGCTGAAGAATAAAGAAATTATTAAAGAGAGATCTTAATTTTGGGATTAGCCAATTTAAAGGCGTTTTTTCATCATCTGCAGGATCGAAAACATTTCTACCTGCAACGGTAGTATTTTCTTTTTGACAGGACTAATTTGGTTACCTGTAACATTTTACGACAGTCCAACAGGGAAGATATTTAGTTTGTGTGATCCTAAGTGATAGATGTGTATTTATATTACACAAATCCCTTCATTTATTTCAAACCTGAGATATTTTGAAATAAAAAAAAACAAAAAACAAAAGAAACAAAAAAAAAACAAAAAACATGGATTTTTCGGATATGTCACTATC